CTATAAAACTGAAGTATCGACCAAGTGCATTAATGCCTCTTTCTTTTTGATATCCTGAAGAAATTCTCATTCTAGTAATCATATTTATTTCTTTCAGCCACTCTTCCCTCCACGCAGTTTCACTTTATGTTCTTTTCTTTCTGACCCAGTGGTTTTTTTTTTCACAGCAGATTGCTATCTGTATAGAGTCCTGCTGTTGTAGAATAAATACATATAAAAGCTTATAGGATTGTCCTTGGACGTGGAATAATTTTTTTCTGAAAACCCTGCAATTACAAAATCAAAAATCCCTGTCAGAATTCATTCATTTTGATGATTTTTTTTTTTTTTTTCTAGGAACAGAAAGAATTTTAAAAGAGCAGCTGTTCTTATGTTACTAGTTCTGTTTAGGCTCTCCTGCTCTGTAAGACTTTCATATTTTTGGAGGAGACATTTAAATAATCTTTCAGCTGTGGTGTCCTGAGAATGGTAGTGTACCATTCTGGTTTGCAGGTGTTTAAAATGTCCTTACAAGTATACAGTAAAAGAAGGAATTGTGTTGCAGCAATGCTGCACAAGGGCTGTAGGCAGCCCTTCCATCCATTCTGTAGGTAAAGTACTTTAAGTGTAAGTCCTCAGCATGCGGCCAAGAAGTCGGATCTTGGGAGCCTAGTTCTATCCAAGCATGTACATACCTCTTCCATTTCAGTGCTTCATTTTGGACATTCCAGATTTGTTGGTGAATGTTTTTTAGAAACACTTTGCACAGGTACATATCAGAAACAATGCAATGAGCTGTTAAGCCCCTCCTTAGAGGACTAATTTTCTATTATTTTTTTGTAGCATCATAGCAATAAGCATAATTTTCCATGGCTGTTCTCTATGCTGAGCTTTTTGGACAAACATATTATTTATTGCTATGATAAAGTTAGATAAACTGAGCCTGTTTTCTAATACATGGAAATGTTAATTCCAGTTTCTGGAGTTCATATGAGCAGCTGCTAGATGTTTATCAAACTGATTACATGCACCTTAGGTTCTAGGCTAAGAACCTGAGGCAGAAACAAATGCCAAAAGAAAAACAGCAAGAACATTAAAATAAACAGGAAAAGATACATATAACTTTAAAAAATAAATCACAGCAATTATTTTTGTGAGCTTGTACATTCAATATTTCCAGTACAGCAGTATGCATGGGGGTGTATCTGTATTAAACTAAGGCTAAGAATGTTTGTGGTATCTAGGTTTCTGCTACTTTTATGTAGTAAACCTACAGCAACATGAGGAGAAAAGGAGGTAACAATTAGCAATTGCAGTGATGATTATTCAAAAGAAAAGAATATAAGAGAAAAAAAAATGTCAAGGCCAGCATTAAGTTCCTTGTTCTTATAGTTATTTTTGAAAAATATCTTAACAAAATATGTCTGCTCTCACTGTAACGAAATCTTATTGCCTTAAGGTTATCAATAACTTGTAGATACCATTTTAAATTACTACAAGCAAAATTGAGTTTTCTTAAAGTAAAGTTCTGATGATTTATTAGCTACATTATTAACATCTGAAAGTTCCAATCTTATGTTTCCATTTATTTTCCAAATATGGCCTTGTTTGTAAGCCACAGAGAGGGAGCTCTGCCTGAATTTAATTCTTATTTTAAAGCTAGTTTTCCTTTTTGAGTTGGAGGGCTTTTTTTTTTCTTCTGTATTCTTGTGGAAATTTTCATGTGGCAAGTAATTTTTATGTGCTTTTTACTTATCACTGAAATCTCTTTTTAAGCTTTACAGATAGAAGAAAGTAAATATTTATCAAAGCCACAATATACTTTCATTGGAATACTTCTACAGTAATATCATCTGTGGTAGCACATCCATTTAAAAGTACTGTGTAGTATCAAGGGAAAAGAAAAAGTGTTAGCATGTATTACTTTTATTTTATGAAGTAAATCTTGAGATGCCTAGGTTACATACTAATGCTGTTATTTACGTATGTGGTCATTAAAGAGGTACAGAGAAGAAAGTTCATCCTTAAACTCTTTCCTGTAATTAAGTCAGTTCTCTGCACTAAAATTATGTTTTTTAAATACAAGAAACTTGAAGTATGTTTAATAATACAGTTTAATACTAGACTCTATCTTCAGTTGCTTGTGAATTACAGCTTGACATAAGGTACGTGAGGTATGGCGGCCTCAGACTGCAGATGGCTTTGAAATCTTTAATTCAATACAGAAGGCACAAGTGAACCAGGAGCGATGCCCCAATTACAGGAGGTTGTTTTTGAGGAGTGACTGTCAGTCTAACGCTGCATTTTCCTCATTTTGATTCATGTTCATTGTTAATTAAGGTAATCATTCTTCAGCAGAGAAAATAAGTGATACAAGTCAATATAACTGTATCTGGCAGGGTGAGCCCTAAGCCCTGGTTTAAAATCAACTTTGTCTCCTGGGCAAAATTATGCTTCCCCATTGCCTGGTGCAATCTCACTGAAAGATGATTTTCTCTATCAGTTATCTGAGGATAAATACATATAGTATGAGTAGAGTAGTTCTGTCGGAAGGGACCTGCAGGGATCATCCAGTCCAACTGCCTGACCGCTTCTGGGCTAACCAAAAGTTGCAGCATATTTGTGAGGGCTTTTTCCAAATGCCACCGAATATGTTCCTATTCTGATGGTTTTTGTTCATTTGATGGCAGGTAAGTTTTGTAACTTTGTCTGTTTGTAGACGTTTTGCATGCAGAGCTTTGACCCGTCAAAACAGACACTATTTGAAAATGTTACATGAAGCGCAGAGTCTTTGGAGACAGCTAGTGCCCTGAAGTCTACTTTTATACAATAGAGATTAACACCATTATTCTATGTGTAATCTCTCCAGCAAAACACTGTCGCCTATTTCTGTCAACAAATGGTTTCTTTGCTTTGGCAGCTGAAAGAAATTTCAGTTGTGTAGGCAACAAAACATGCCTTTATAAGTTGCAGGACCCAATTTTAAAAATATTTTGGAAGGTAACTGTGGTTTTGAAAAGTTAAATTATTTTCATTAACTAAATGTTTTTTTTAAACAAGCTAAAAAGACTGATTTCGTCTACTATGTGTGACATGCTCCTGATCTGTGTATAAGGCAAGTCCAGCAGCACACCTTGTGGAAAGCTGTGTCAGGTGGTGTCAATGGCTATAATAGATGGCCATGCCACAGCTCCCTGCAGACACTCACCATTTACCAGGGCAATAAGAGTGGGTTTTCTTTCTGAATAAAAGTGGAAGCTTGTGATGTCCTTTCTGAGAGTCAAAAAATTCCCAAAACATGCTATATTTCCAGTGGAATTGAGTTATATAAGTCATAGGCACCATGCAAAATATATATATATTTAATTTTTGTTAATAAATATCTGTTCTCTTTTTGAAATCGTTGATTTACATCAGTAGTTAATAAATTACTACATTTTGAACAAAGTTACCATTGTCCCTAAGAAGTTGCTAATAAAAAAAATTAAAGCCAAGATGAGACGAGTACTCTATGACTTTTATTTGGTTTCTTGTTTATGACATAAAAAAACCAAAAACTTCCCAACTTTTGAATTTAATAGTGTTTTGTAGAGGGTCCTTGTGGAAGGTGGGCAGTTGACCCCCCCACCTAATGGCTGGGACACACAAGTGTATGAAGAAAATGCATTCGTACAGATCTGTGTGCTGGGGACTGCTCACCTCCCCTTTTTCTGGGCTGGGCTTGGGTCTGTCTCCCTGGGATCATGGGTGCTGCTGACATACAGAATGGCCAGGTTGTGCAAACAGTGTCTCAGCATTTAACCAAGTATGTGTATGCTTGCAGTGTAGAACTGGATGTGCTTCCTGCCTTGCTAGTGGTTATCTGGATTTTTTTTATATGGGGGGAAGAGTAGCAAAAAGAGGCCATGAATCACAAGAAGTCATTGTACCATCAACTTACTTCCTTTGCACATCTAAGGAGTAAAGACAAGAAAAGCATATATTTTGATTTCCTACAGTAATAACAAATTGGCTATGAAAGTAACTATCTTAGACAAAAACAACTTATTAAATAACACTGACATGATGTAGGATGGCAGTTATATGCATATACACTGAGTGTCTTGGGAAAAAAACCCTGAAAATTGTCTTGGCATCTGTCAAAGTAAGAGATATAATGACTCTTTCCTATGTTAATTTTTTAGTTTAGTAGTTTTCACTGTGCAATTATAAATCACAGAAGTTGAAACAAATTTATTAATGTTTAAATTAAATTTATTAATTATTTATTAATAAGTCAACATACAAGAATGCAAAGAATCAAGTCTCTCCTTGTATACTAAATGAGAAGATTTCTTCCAGATTCTTGCTTTGATCATTAGACTCTTAAATAAGCCAACATTACTTAGTTGCTAAGCCACAGACTGAAGTTCATTAGTGTGTTAGCACAAATATTGGAAAAAGAGTACTAAACCAATATTAGATAGAGGACCTGCGCGTAGGCTGGAAGTAATGCAATGAACATGACACCAGAACATTCTGAATGATTGCTCACAGTGATTAAAACCATTTCTGTTTACAAAAACCCGCCCTACTCGGCAAGAAAAAGTGCAACCCCTGAGTGGATCTGTTTTTCTGCTACTGTATCTGTAAGGCTTTACTGAAAATACAGGATATTTAATAGCCTTATAAATACTTTTGTGTATACTCTTTATTTTAAATATTGACCAGATGTACTGCTCTTTTTGTCTATTCATGATCCTTAAAAACAGCTTTCAGTAGAATGCTGTTAACTGTAGATTTAAAGCCACAGTACCATCTTATTTAAATAGTCTGTGTAGAAAACCAATTCAAAATCTCTGTAAGTCAGTTCGAGTTTCTTAAGTACTTTAGGTTTAATGCATAAATGTAGCATTTAACATAGCACCCTCTTGTAGAGGCTGTTGATCTTTATATCAGCTCAAGCTAGTTTGGATTTTTTTTTTGATATTTTTATTATCCTAAGCAAATGGACTAACTTCAACCTTTTTTATTTCTCACAGATCCTCAATACTGTGAGGGAAGAAGGAGCAGAAGATGTCTTTGAATACTTTCCTCATCTTTTGAGAAAACTCCCAGCCTTACATACAACCTGTAAATGCAAAGGTGATGGTTTACGTGTAAAACCATGTGCAACAGGTGCTTGCTCTCAGTATCGTGCCACTTTACAGAGGACTGCGCTCTCTAACTACATAACTGGTGCTTTACTAGAAGCAACTACATCATTAGGAGCAAGAAGTGGTCTTCTAAATATCTTCGGAGGATCAGCTGGAAGAACAATGCTTAAAGGTAGTAAAGATTTAACATTTGAACCTTGACCGTTTTAAGTGCAGGGAGTATTGCAAAGTATTGTATAATATTCCATGCTTTATATATCATAAAAAAACTTCCATGTTCTCAAAGGTCTATATTTGCAATTCATTCTGTCATAATAACTAGCATTATTGGTTTAATAAAGTAAAAATGCCTCCAAAACAGAAAAGAGTATTACAGAACAGACATGTTTTCAACATTTTTCTTTTTGTAACATTCTTGTAATATCCAAATATCCAAAGGTAATGCTGAAGCCACTATTGCTAGGGTTCTCCTTTCTATGATATTTCTTAGTTAAGAGGAGCTCCTGTTCATGATATGGTTTGGTTTAGGACTTCAGAAATACTACGCTCAGTTCATTTTGTTGTCATTATGCAGCCAGTTGCCAGCACAGAACTGTCTGGTAAGTGTATACATTTGATTACAAATTTACTGTTGATCTTCTCCTGGATTCCTCATCTTTTTAGGATCTGATCATTCTGAATAATGGGGGTATTTTCTATGTGGATAATACCTATTGATGATGGCTGCTGCATATTAACGTTGCATGCTGATGGTCTTAGTATCAAGTAAGATTATCATTCTGTCATTTAGTGCAGTCAGTTTATGAAGTTAAACTAGAAAAAATGCATGCTTGGTGTGAATTCATTGCATTGCAACAGGATTTTTGTACAGAACAGTAACTGCTTTTAAATTAATTTGTAATTACAACCTAGTATATTTCCAAGACTACTGTATGTGTTTGGAGATTTATCATCATGCTACCTTGTAACAAAAGGAGTAATATCTCAGTTGTATAACTGTAGAATTGAAGCATGTGGATGTATGCCCCAGAGTTTTACAAGAAAATGACAAAATCACTAGAGGATTCTAAGTATAGTTCCTTAATACAGACACTGTCATCATTTTCATAGGCAGATAGTGATATAATATGTATTCAGATCAGGTTATAAAACTTGCATCCCAGCGTGTGACCCTTTCTAGTTTTAAATAGTCTCTCTTCAGATAAATCAAATGAGAGGGAATGCCTATGGTGGTAGGACAGGTACAGATGACACCTGAGTGAATTTCAGCAGTATGTGGAGCCACATGACTAGGCTTTAAATATATTCTGAGAAACAGAGGTATGTATAGTGCAATGTCCTATTCTGATAGGGTTTTTCATTTTCCTTGTTCCTGGTAAGCCCAACTAATGACTGTTACCCTAGGCCTGAGACAATAGTTTTTAGAGTTTGAGTAGTACCTGCACATGTGCATTGTGAACCAAGAGACTTTGTACTGGTTTGGGGATCTCTGCAGTGTATTATTGGTGTACGCTTGTGTTGATGTTCATGCAGATTCTTAAAAGCATTATTTTAATCTATCCAACACTCTCTCTTACTACTGGATTTAACCTCAGGTTTAGATGAGATTAGCTTCTGGGTAAAAAGTTTCAGTTGATAACAGATCTGTTGCCAAATGCATTATGGGATTTACTGTAAGATGCAGCATGTCATCTGACCAATTCACGTTGTGCTTAAAAAGCAAATAATTGTATTGGCTCTCATGTTGTTTAGTAGTGAAGAAATGTCCTTCAACTGGTGATTCACTGCTCTCCAGAAATGGTTCAAACTTGCACATTTGTCACCTTGCTTTCTTAGATGAGCTGGCAGTACATCTAAGTTATTTGTCTCATGTTGCAGAGAGGCCAGGGAGGTGAAAATAAGTATCTGCTTTGGCAGTCAGAGGTTGTGAGTGTTTCAGTGTAGTGCGCTGCCCTGAATTACTAACAGCGCCAGAAAATAAGCTTTGTATCCTTCTAGCTTGTACTTCTTCTTGTCAGCTAGCGTGTTAAAGAAAGGAGGGAAGACTGCCCTCATCTTTTTTTTATTGTTTTGATCAGAAATAGCAGATGTAACTGTGTTTCACAAGCTATGACAAGAAAGGACAGATTTTCAAGTGTTGTGTGAGAGCGTAAGTCTTACAGTTCTTCCTTTAAACTTGTACTTGAGAAAGAATTTAAAATTTAGGAAGATGCCTTGGTACAATTGAAGCTCCAAGTATGAGGTCCCAGATAGAAGTGCAGCAGATCACTGATTTGTTTCTTTCAGAAAGACAAATTGTAGACATGTCTAGTTTGTACAGCACAGAGCAGCATAGAGACACTTGACCTCTTGCTGACTCACTGTGACCCAAACCAAAGTGCTCTCATGATGCAGGGAAATACCCTACAGTAATTTATTTGAGAACACTATAAGCAGCTGCAGCTAATAGTCTTCCAAAACATTAACTTTTCTGGTATTGTCAGTAGATGAGATAGAGGTAGCTTGAGCATCATGGCACTATGCCTCTCTGTCGAGAGGTAAGGAACCATATTAATGATTTGAACTAAGTAAAAGAGACAATTAGCAAGTGAAAATTTAGACACCAATTGCACTGTCCTAAGTGGAAATATAATGTGTTACAAAAGCAAAGGATTCTATGCATCATTTTAGTATCTCCAAAAGTAATTTGCGATGTTACATTGGCATAAATACAACTTGTTGGACTATCTAGCACTTTTCTGCCACTCAGAAATTTGAACTTGAACTTAGAATCATAGAGTACTAGAATTATTTGAGCTGGAACAGACCCTTGAAGGTCATCTTGTCTAACTCCCCTGCAATGAACAGGGACACCCACAGCTCAATCACATTGCTCGGAGCTCTGTCCAGCCTGACCTTGAGTGTCTCTTCTTGAGCCCTCCAGTGAACAGTCCAAGCTCTCTCAGGCTGTCCTTGTAGGGGAGGTGTTTCATCTCTTGAATCATTTTTGAAGCCCTCCTCTGGATGTGTTCTAACAGGTCCATGTTTCTCTTGCTTTGTTCTATAAACACTGCAATATTTAAAGTTGTTGCAATTAAATGCTGAATGAAGTGATTAATTATTATGAAGTAATTAAGATGTTTTTGTGGTGAGTCCAGTTTGATAGCTATTTTACCTGGGGAAAAGCTAGGTACGTAAAAGTGCTACTGAAGACTTGACAAATACTCTTGCATATTGTAGTAAAAGCCTACATATCAGACACTCTGAACTGATAGAAAGTGGCAGTTCTAGGGTCAGACTTCATCACCCCTCTTTTCTTCTGGGCTCTTATTCCTGGACACTGTTTTCATTTCAAAAAAATCCTGGAAGAAAAGGGCAGAGGCAAACACATCTTGCACTATTATTGTCGAGTACTTCATCTTGTCAAATTATTTCCTGGATTTGAAATCTCTGAATTGCCCTAGGTATTTGTATGTGTATAATGTACTTAAGTTCAATGGATTTATAGGACTTCAGCAAAATGTCTACTTGTAACATAAGCAAAATTCTTTTGTGTTAAAAATATGCCGTGATTAATATTTTAGCTTTTAATGCCTGTATATATTCTCTTGCGTTTCATTTAAACATATTATTCCTAGGTAATTCTAATCTTACTTTTTAAGGTACTTAGGACTAGAAGAGTTGTGTATGTCTTACCCAAAAATTACTAGTGACAAATGATTTTGAAAAAAAATGTGTTTTAGTAATGTATTTGAAACAAGATTTGTTTTAAGTTATTCATTTTTCAAGTAAAAAAAAATGCAGGCTTCAGATTATTGGCTTTCTAAAATTTTTTTTGCTTTTAAAATTAAATATAATAAAGATGAGTGGGAACTCTCATTGAAGGTCCTTAAAAATCTTTCCTTTCACTGTACAGTAAGAATAATTCTACCTTGTTCTGATCACCAGTACACCAATACAGGGGAGAAGGAAGTCTTTCTGGTACAAAAGACATAAACCGTTTAGAGATTACCTCACAGATCTGTAACATTAGTTCAGTCTGAAAGCAGTAGAATGCTAATGCCCAAGGGGTGAAGAGTGGGTGGACTCTTGAGTTCCACGTGCAGACCTCCAAACCAGAACTCCCAGTCACGTGAATCTGGGAATGAGAGTCTTTAAGAAGGGGTGTAGGGCCTGCTTTGTAGCAGAGCAGCAGGGCTGGAAGTGCTGCTCTCAGCTGGCTCCCTGCTGAGGGGCTGCAGCTCAGGTCCTGCTGGCCCAGGGGCATTCTGAGTGTGGGCTGTCGGGAACCACCAAGGCCTGCAGTTCCCACAGCTGGTCAGTGAAGTTCACATCCTTGTCAGTGTCCTTGTTACAATAGAGAGCATAATTTTCACTTGCAACTACTGAAGACATTCCAGCTGCACTGTTTTAGTCTCTGTATGTAATTCAAAATTTCTGGTTAGTGAGAAATTTTGGGAATGTCTTTCAATACAATTTGGATTGGAACCAGATTTCTTTCCCTAGAAAGGAAATCCTGCTTCTCAGCCTGTTTAGTTTCATGCAAATTAATTGTTATAAAAGTTTATTTGTAGTTGTTTGAGCCAGAATTTTCACTGGAATGGGTTTAAAGGATATAGTTACTGTTGCAGTTCACGTGTTGTTGACTTTTTTAAAAAAAGATAAAGTGGAAAATGTGTTGTGGGTTTTTTTTCCTTTTTTAATCATAAAGAAGGAACTAGCATCTGTGAAAATGCTCTTGCTTTATATCCGATACCTGTATGCAGTCACCGTAGAAATGAAACCTGTACCCTTCTTTCCCCTTTCCCTCCATTAGAGAATAACTTTGTATATACCCCTTACTGCTCTTTTTGAGATTCCAGAGCAAGGTCACCAAGGACTTGAATAGACAACAATTTTTGACCAAGAGCAGTAGAAAACTGATTTGTTTATATACAGGCAGGCTATACTGATCTTAAGAAAAGAGACTCTTTTGGGTTTACATGGGAAGGTTTTGGTAGTGGAGGGGACACTAGGCACAAAGAATTAAACTCTGCCAGCACTGCTCTTCTCACACTTATGTCTGTCTTTCTGGGCATTGTAATATATATTGCTGCAAGATGGAAAGATATGTAATTGAGCTAGGCAATATGTACATTGAAGAAGTTAACTAATGTAATTAGCCTGAGTAAAAAAAAAAATAGCTTTTTGTTC